GCAAAAAGGGCTGTGGATTAACTGAACTGGGCACAGCTCTAGAAACACAGCGTTAATGAGCTGGAACAGGGTCATACCAGGGTGGGATGTTTTGCAGAGAGCAGAAAAATTACTTTGATTCTCTCCCTGTTGATACTCACACATTCGGGCAGCTATTGGCAGCTGAACTCCGAAGGTGACTCTTGAGCACACCCTACTGCTTCCCACAGCACATGCAAAAAGAATTAACTAAATCAGCTTTTTCCCTCCATTTTTGCGTTTAAGTGTTGATTAACTTCTTTTCCTTCTCTGATGAACTTAATTTTCATATTTTCCTTTGCTTTCTAAACGTAAATCCCATGTATGTAAATTGCAGAACCTCTTTTTCCCATTGCCTGGACTTAAATTCCATCTGCCTGGTTTCCATGAGTTTGTAGCCACAGAATAAATAGCCCTCTGTATTCTGGGCTTGGAAATGTGGTGTAACCATGTTTACATGTGACTACAGAGCCCAGCTCATAAAGTTGCACAGATTTAATCAAAATTCCCTCCTATTTTTATTGGCCTTTGTAATGAAACCAGCATCGAAGAAGGCTGCAGTATAGGTTGGCATTGCTCTGATGACCGTAAGTGTTCAATTAAGTAAAGATTCCTAATTACTTATAGTGAGGTCAGCCTTTCACTTAGCCTGTTAAACAACTGAAACCCTTTTTATGGGATGTGTTTTTGTTTATAACTGACTGTAGTTGAATGAACTAGAGAAGAAATGGCTGTATAAATAAGACCTGGTTAATCTAATCATTTAATGCCTGAAAATTAAACATAAATACTGCTATTCTGTTATGCTTCAAGAAGTTCAATGTGTTCTCTTCCTACCTGCGTCATTTCTAGGGGAGAGATTTCATTGCTAGTGAGATATTTTACTTTGGAGTTTTACATACCCACATTTCAGATGCCTCTGCTTGACTTCAGTGTTTTATGAGGACTGAACACAGACACTCAACAAGTCAGAACAATTCCCATTGCAAAGACAGACAGATAAATGTTGGTCTGACCTGGGAACAGTTTTGACCATATAATATAATCATATTTTCCACACTTCTCTAGTGTTTACCACTGAATTTTGTCAGAGCAGGACTGCAGTGCCTGCATAGTTTGACTGAACTTGCTGGGTTTCCTCATCACTTCAACTCTTGCATGTTCTCCCCTTGCAGTCCTCAAAGGTTTGAATTTCCTCAGCTGAGGAATGCCCACATTTTCCCTTGAACAGGCAGGACAGTTCAACCCCTCACATATGACAGCTGAAAAAGTAAAATTGATTCATCCACAACAATTTTAAAGCATTTAATTGCTTTGCTCTCTGCTCTCACACCCATTTTCCTTCCTGTGTCCCACTCCTATTCCAGCTGCCTTTGTCTGTGACTCTCCACACCAGACAATCAACTGCAATATTGTTGTGTGTATCTTAGAATCTTTAATTTCAAAATTTCTGCCAGCAATGCCAGTTTTCATCCCTCACAAAATGCAGGTTTTTTCATTCCCCTTGAGAATAGCTCCAGAAATATTCAATTGTCAGAATTATACCTAAAGTGATTAATCTTTTAGACTTCCTGGTAGCAGGAAAAAAAAAAAAAACAACCTGGAAAAATACAATTTAAATGCTGAAAAAATATTTCTAAAAAGTTAATCTTGTGAGTTTTGGCACCAGAAATGAAACATTTGAAAGCTTGACTTTGGCAATACAACTCTGTTTAAACATTTTTGATTGTGGTACTTGAGATTAAGCCTGTGCAGGGCTCTCCTCAGTACCTTTGATAACCAGAGACTTTGTTGACCATTTGAAGTCATTATTATTTGGTTTTGTTTCTGTGCCAGTCCAGGGCAACAATATCTTTTATTTGGACCCAGAAAAGCCATATCTTGATGTGGTGCAAGAGCTCACCTGGGGCACACTGCAGCTCTGATGGGAGCTGGCCCCAAGCTGCTCTAGGAGCGTTCAAAGGTAGAACTGGCAGTGAAATAAATCAAGTTCAACCCCAGCAGCAGCCTCCAGCTTTCCAAAATGCAGCATCTGGAGTGCTGAGGCTTCAGTCAAAATGGGACCTGCAAAGAATGGATCAAAATAATCTGTACCCCACAAAGTCTGGGAGAACAAGACACGTTCTGGGCCTGTGTCTGTGACAGCACTGTGCAATTTGCTCCATTCAGCATCAATTATAGCTGAATTTAGCCCTGTATTTTTGTCTCTGTAATTATCTGAGTGTTCCAGCTCAGCCTGTTAACATAGGACTAACTCACAAGGATTTATTCAGGTTTTTCTCTGCTTTCTGCTCAGACAAAGCTCAAGGCAACTGGGATTTTCCAGAGGAGGGAATGACTTGTCACTAATAATAGCTTTAGTCAGCAACATATGTTTAGTGATGCACATCAATATTTGTGCTTTTACAGAGGCTAAGCTTTTGCATTTTCAATGTCATCATGTCCACAAGCATCCTTTATCTCAGTGCTTTTAAACTATGTGTAAAACACTGGATTTTTATATGTACACTTCTGTCCTAACCATCTACTCCCAGCCCTGGGAAGCACCTGGCTAGCTCCTAATCCACCGGGGGGGAGGAGGGTCCGACAATGGACAGAGGAAAAAGATGAGGGAGGCTTTTTATTCCTGGACACTTTATTTTATTCCTGGACACTGCCCCAGTTTATTCTCAGAACGAACTCCAGGGGAGAAAGAGACTGAGGGAGAAATGGCGGTGACTTTTAAACTGGGGGGGCGGAGCATAGAATTACAGCCAATGGGATGAGACTGAAGGGGTGGGGCAAAGGGAAGGAACCAACTTCACAAAACCAGGGGGGAGCACAGGGAAAAACCATTTAATGTGAACCTCTTAGTGCAACACAACGCATTTCCCACTGGCTGAAATCCTCTCTGCTGTCAGGCAGCATCGCATTGCAAACCATCCCATTTCCTCCAGACTCCCATGAATCTTTGAAATAGGCACCTCAGCTATGATTTATGAGATATTTGTATTAATTTTCCTGTTGTTTTTCTACAGGAGCAGGTAGTACCTTAGAGGCCATGTTGAAAGATTTCATGTTTTTAAGTAATTAATCTGATGTTCTGCCTCACTCGCTCCTTTAACTCTAGAAGGAATATGCAATAAAGCAATGTTGCTATTCCTTAGATTGTTCTTTCAAGTTTTCTCTCATTTCTACTTTTTTATTGAGTTATTCTCCTTGTAACCTCCTAATCTAAATTTCTTCAGCCAGAGGCTGGAAGGTGACTTTAGTAGAGATGAAGAGGAAATCTTAGACTTAAGTATCCTGGTTACATGCAGAACTTGCAGTTCTTGGCTAAATAAACACAGAAGTGTTTACATTTGCATCACAATGTTCTCCAAAGCAAGCACAGCTCTGCCTGCAAAATAGAAAATTCCTGGTGATTCCCTCAGGCATTGGACTGGAGGGAGGAGTTGCCATTGTAATACTGGGGTTCTAGTGGGTAGGTATGATCAAATCTGCATGGTATAAGTTTAGCATCTTTTCCAGAGATGGTGGTGGTGGGTTTGTTTGCAATAACCCCTGTTTGGTGTTGTCCTGGGTTGATTATGATGTTAAATTGTATCCCCATCAGGTGTTCTCTGTCAGGAAATGAGAATTGGTCTCCTTCATATTTTGGAGGAAAGAGGTTTAATGAAAATCTACCATATGGCTTTCATTTTTATTTATTTTTTTTTAATAGGCTTAGGTTTTGCTTGAAGCAATTTATGTTTCCCAAACTCATGGTAAAATGCAAAACATCAGGAACCTCCTGCTCCTCCTGGGCACTTAACTGGTGACAGTACCATGCATCAAAATGCTTATCCACCTTTTCTGACTGGGTCAGGTGGTCACAAAGAAGCATTTTTTGTCTTGTGCTATGGCTGCAAATGGGCTCCTCCAACCACAGAGCACAGAGATTTTGTTTTCTCTGCGTGAACTGTGTTCTTGATATTAAGGAGTAGAGTGGTAGCTGGTGAACAGCTGCTGTGTAATAACCTGTCTGGTTTCCTCTGTGTCTTACCCTGAAATTGATGTTTAAATTCATTCTCATTTGTTAGACTTCACTGGTTTTGTTCATCACCTGAAAGCTGGCTCTGCACAGGTCTTGCAGCAGAGAAGCAGGGTACCACACTGCTCTAGAGCTTCATATATTGTTCACAGCCTAGTTTCCATATTTTTGCATCATTTCAAGCAGTGTTAAGAATTTTGAAATAGAACTTTAGAGCCTGAATTTTGCTTGGATACTTAATTCCATCCTCCTTCAGGCTGTCCCCATCTTTAAGTGCTGTGGGATGTTGTCTGTAATGCCTCTTTTTCATTACTTTTCTCTCAGTGCTTCTAACTCTGTCCTTTCTTTTTGGTCAGTTCTTATGTGCCATCCTCCAAGTAATCATTCCAAGGAGAGAAGAATAAATACACTGCCCATCTCTTTGAAGGAAAGAAGTCAAAGGAGAACTGTTTCCATCTCTGGTATTTCCTCTGTTAAGCTTCCCACATCCCTTTTGCTTTTTCTCCCACTTATGGGCAGTGGTGCTCTCCTTGTGTGACCAATTTGCATAAAGCCATAGCAAAATAGATATTTTTTTTTATTTAAACCATCTTTTATTTTATTTAAGTATTTCTGTGTGTAATTCTATAGATGAAAAAACACAAAGAGGTGCAGGATTCATGCTTGGAAAAGCACTGTGTGTCAGTGAGTGCCCCCTGGTTTTACTCTTTTGACTTAGCAGCTTTGTGCAATGGAGGTTGAAACTACCAATAACTGCAAAAATAACCCATTTTTATTGGCATAACAGTGACATCTATTGTTTGATATTATATACATCTGTGCCAATCTTAGCAACTGCATACAGGTATTGAACTGTCTCAATTTCAAGCGTGCAAAGTCAAATTATTGATTCAAAAAAATTAGGTAATGGCACATGTAGTAATGCCATTGGACAGCTATGTGAAATTAAACCTAATTTGTTTTGTCACAGCCTAATTTACAGATCAGTGTGGGCTGATGCACAGAGAGAGGCGTCTCCTGTTTCAGTGTCAGCAGATGTTGTTTTGATGTCACACCAGCCATGCTGCATCACCCCCCTGGAGACAGCCAGAGGTTGGCAGCATCCAGCAGAGGATTCTCCTGGGAAATCTGCCTCAGCATTGCCCCACAGTGCAGCTGCAGAACATCTGGCCTCTGCCATTCCCCACTGAACCAAGGGAACCCTGATATTGCAGGCACAGGCTTAGGAGGTAAGTGGGGAGGGCAGGCAGTGAACAAAGCCCTGCCCAGGGATTTCACTGAGCATCTGCTGCAGAACCACAAACCAGGGCTGGTTCCTGCCCAGGCCAGCAAAGCTGAGCCCTTCCAAGGCAGCCCCAGGAGAGTGTGAGGGCTGCACCATGCCAGGTACCAGCTCCAGGTGTTTTAAGACCAGGTCTTGCACTGGAAAGAGAATTCCAAAGCATCAGGCTAGGGGAGTTTAATTCCTTTCTTACTGCACTCATTTGATTATCTCTGTTATTTCTCACTTCTTTTAACAGAGAATACAGAATTTGAATAGGAAAGATTATAATATAGCAGTAATGAAATACAGGGACTGTTGAGTGTGTCAGACTCTGTGGCTGATTAGACTTTCTGATTCGTGGGCTGGCACTCAAGAAAACAGCAACTGTCTCTTTTACTACCTTGTGTATGAAAACAGCAGAAGGCTGTGTATGCTCATCACTGTTTTATGTGATTCTGAACATTAGAAGAAAAACAGAGAGAGCAAACCTATAGAAAGATATTTTTAATAGTTTTAATGGAATACTGTGTTTAATTCTTACAGAAGCAAACTCTGGATAAGCAATTACTCTCAGCAAAAATATTTGGTACTGTTAAGTGAAGCAACATAGTTCCCTTCTTTTTAAGCCATAAGCTGTAATGTAAGGATGTAGAATAGTAAAAAGCAATAAAGGGTAAAGGGAACACATTGCCTATAGATCCTACTGTGAAAATAGCACTGAAATATGTACTAAACATTCAGCTTACACTTAGAGTTCACTTGGGTACATAAATCCTGTCTTCAACAGCCACAGCATATTCCTAAACTGAGGATATAGAGTTGGGCTGCTGTGTAACCCACCAAGTTTTCTATCCTAAGGGTAAATGCCATCTACTTCTCTGTGGATCTGTACATAAACAGATTTTTCCAAACCTCCAGTCAGTTGTAAAGGCTGCAGGATGAAATATTCATATTAAAAATCTTGGATTAAAATCTACAGCCTTTCATGCCTAGCTTTCATGTATTGTTGTCCACAGTGATGGAAACATGCTTCTAATTTCCTACACTCCAGCCTCCCTTTTAAGATCTCTCCACAGAGTAGCACCCAGCTGAAAGGTAACAGCAGCTGTGTTTCTGAGAGCTTGTGTTGAACTTCTGTGCTTTCCAAAGAGAGAGAATAATAAACGTTATAGGAATAAGTAACACAGACTTCATAAATAAACAAGTTCTGGAAATCTCACTGCTCCCTCAGTGGAAAGGGAAAATAAGAGTGTGTATTGAAAGCTCTGCAGTGTTGGAAGGGCTGGAGATGCAGACAGGCACCAAACCCCAGAGGAGCAGATGTTGGTTTTTTTGTTCACAAAAGCACTGAAAGATGACAGTTCAAAAAATTGACAGTTCCATGGGTGAAGAACTAAGAGAGCTCATGGTGGCTACAAGGAGGGGCCAAGGAAAATGGCTCTGCTCTCCCACCTCCAGATACCTGAGGGAGAGGACTCTGGCTTTGCAGCAGGCACAAAAGAAAAGCTGCAAGGTTTTGCAAAAGACCCAAGGGATGTGGGAGCCTGTGTCATACTGAAATTCAGAGGGCACTGTGCTGTTAATTCCCCACACGTCCCCATGAGGTTCAAGTCCTCTGTATTTATTTATTGTCTCTCAAGCTGCATCCCTCCAAATGGCAAAAGCTGGGAGTGAGTGATAGTAGGTTCTGAAAACTCAGTGTTAGCAACAAGCAAGCAGCCCCCAATCCAAGTGGAGGGCAGTAATTTATTATCCATTAGGTGCTCGGTCAGTCAAAAAGGACTAACAGAGCAATAAAGTCTGAAGTGATCAGTTGAGCTCAGCCCATACCACTGGCTGGCTATCAGAAAGGTCAGGGTAGTAAGATGGATGGTTTCCTCTCCTCCAGACACTCCATCTTTCTGTCTGGTGACACATGCAACTCTCTCTCTCTCTCAGCAAGTAAGATTGTCAGATATCTCCTGTGTGTGGAGCCAATTCTGACCCAACTGCATATTTAATTGTTTCAGAGGAAAGAATACAAACTTCTCACATTTGCTGAAATGTTGAAATGAGGACAGTGGGCCCTGTTCTGGTGGTGTTGTAAATGGGCTGCAGCCTCTGGTACCAAACCCACCTTCCTTGCAAGGCTGGTGCTCCACAGCCATGCAGGGCTCAGGGGCAGCAGCCAGGTGCTGATTCAGGGAAGTTTCAGGGAGACTGTCAGAAGTTTTTCTCTGTTTTTCCACTATAATCAGTGTGCCAAGGCCTAGATATGAATCTTCTTACTTAGGACTCAAGGGGTGCAAACTCATTTCTTTCACCTGATCCATCAACCTGTGGGCTCCTCCAGGGTGAGGCCCTGGTCATGCTTTAGTAATGATCCTGAAATTCTGGATTCATTAAGCCAGGCAGAGAGAAATTCAGAGACTCCATCCCTGGGAAAGGGAAAAATTTAGATTATGGTCCAAAACTGTGTCAAGTGTTTCATTCCCCCTTTATTCCAAGTAAAACAGAAACATTCCTGGAGGCAGCAAGTAATGAGTGTTTTGAAAAGCTCCTCTGAAGCAGGTACAGTTTTCCCAGCCTGCTGCCCTGGCACATTAATATTTCCAACAAACTTCCCTAAACCCCAACCTGTTGCAGTGTGTTTTTTGTTAATGTTATGTTCTGTTATTGCCCAAGTTGATGGTTTGGTCCAAATGAGACCCTCCCACCCCACACTGTCAATCTACCCTGAGTCCCCTGTCAATCTGTCTTAGACCCACCACATGCTTGGAATTCCACTTTGGGAATTCCCTAAAATTTGACATTTGATTAGCCCATGTGACCCAATTTCCCCCCTACCTCCCTCACTGGATGATGATTTAGTGAACCCTGCCTTTTACCCTCCCCAGGATATCTCTGATTGCTGATGCTTTGTACCCTCCCTTTGAACCACCTCCCTATTTCAGCTGTTGCACGCTCCCATTTTCTTTCTTTTGCCCCCAAGATTCCCCAGAGCAATAAATCCTCTGTTATCCCATGCAGAAGAGACCTCCCTCTCGTCCTTGTCTCCTCAGAGCACAGCCTGACAGCCAAAAGCCACAGAGCAAGTGCTCCAGTGGCACCTGGGGTCACCCTGCTCCTGGGGAGTGACCCAGTGCTGGAGCAGGTGAAGGGATGGAGCCAGATCAGCTCTGGTGAGATGTGTTACCAACCAGTCTTGCTCCTGGGTGACCAAGGAAATGCATTTCTCAGTCAGAATTGTATCTCATTGGAGGGCTCTCTCCAAAGACTGCACACAGCAGGCTGGAGCACACTCAAAACTGGGAATTAATCCATGCTCTGACACTCTCCTTGGCTCCATCCTTCCCTCCTTACTCCTCATTGCACTGACAGTTGTTACCAGTCTCTGCCTTGCAGCTACAGGAAAAAGTGTAACCAAACTTCCAAGCCCCAGGGAGGGAACTGGAAATGGTCCCAGCATCAGATTCCAGCCCAAAATGCAGTTCTGGTATTCCCCATCCTTATTGTCACTGCAATATCGTGCCCATGTTTATTTGTCGTGCTCTAACAAGCCATATGTGAACAGCCAGTTCCTTTGTTCTCAGAGGATAGATTAGAGCAGCCAGTCTCCTCCTGGAATAAATAGAAGTTGAATTATTTATTTCCTTTTCTTCATAAGAAGCTTATAGCATGCTGGATGAAAAGTCAGAAATAATTAAGAAAAATGCTCTGCATTCAAACAGAAGAAACACTCAGAGAACAGTTGGAGTGCTGGCCACAGCTGGTGTCGGTGTGGGCTTGGGATGGGAAGGGAATCTCTCACTGGTCCTGCAGGAATCAGCCTGGAAGGATGCAGTGATTCTCTGGATGCCTGACATTTTATCTGAAAAATCTCTCCTATTTACTTTCAGCAGTAAATTTCTGGGTGAGGCTTTTTCCCAAGTGGTGAGGAAGTGTTTCACCAGACAGGCACCTGCTGTCATGGTGGGAGTTTTAGATAAGGGGATACTGAGGCACAGGGAAGGGATGACACTTGGGGGCTTGGAACATGTTCCCTCTTTAATTATGCTGCCAGGTGTGGCTCTTTATTTTTAATATTGATTTAATATTTTTTCTGTTATTTTCCACACAAAGTTTGAAAATACTCCTTCTCTTTATAGATGCAACTTTTTTAAAACACCCATGCCTCCCTCAGAGGAGAAATTCTGTCTTTATGAATTTCTGTTCATTGGTCCCACACCTCAAGCTGAAATTCTGAGTAAAAGACAACATTCCCTGACAATGGAAGTTAGAGCTGGTTTATAAGGGGTAAGCTAACATCCCTTTAAAAAAACAAACAACTTGTTTTACAGATACTGAGTTGATTTTACATTGCCCAAATACAGGTTACATGTGTCAACTTGGGAATATTACAAATACTGACAATTCCTTTAGTTGTGATGCTAATAATATATGGAATAATGTTTTCTGAAAGAGATTGAAAGAAAAAATAAATTTCAGGGACTAAATCATCAGTAACACCTATTGCTGGAATTCTGTGTGGGACTAAATAGCCCAATATACCCACTTCAATTTAAGAAAGAAATACACTCCTGTAAAGGTATTTTGAATGAAAAAGTAATCTACTTTCCTTCAACACAAATTGAGTCTGGCCCACTTTTTACTACACACAGATCTGTGATTGCTCATGAAAATGATTTCTTTAGGTTTAAAGCCAATTGCTGCTCATGTTTAAGTGAAGCAGCTCTTTCACCTGAGGTATGACAGAAAATACTCCTCTCCACCTATTACCAAGCCCTCAGAGTTTAATTATTGGCTGTAGGTGCTTGGAAGTCATCAGAAAATGGTAAATATGTGATGATGACTGCCTTGACTGTGCTGCCCCAGGGGTTGAAAGACTGAGCTGCTGCAGTGGAGGGGAAGAGCAGGGCTGGGTTTTCAGGGCTGCCCACAGCCCTGTGCATCTCACACAACAGGGACTTGTAACCAGACAATTAACCAAAGGTGTTCCTCAGTGCCACAGGCAGAGTCCTACAGAATCCTCAACAGGCAATCAGATTAAGCACCTACCCTTGGATTTGGACATTTTTGAGGTTAAAATCCTATAAAAAATACTTGAAATACGTGTATTTTTCTTGAGCTGAGCAGAATCTAGCTCTTTAAAGAAGCAGGGATTTTCCAAGCTCCCCAGGGTAGCTGGGTACCAGATTTATACTGAAGCTCACCAGATGCTAGCCCTAATTTTCTTAGAGTCCTTTGAAAATCCTGGAGCTGGTAAAAACTGATTTTAAAAGGCTTTTTAGTTTCTTAGGAAATAATAAAGCATAGTCTGGATACTGCAAATAGGATCCACTTACAGCTAGGACAGATTCTTCTGGTTTTTCTCTTTCAGATAAATCCTTCTGTATATATTTTAGGCTCCATAATTTATTACTTGTGAGCTCCATAAATTACCATTTTAAAATACACTGAGTGCTTCCTGGGCAGTGCAATATTCTTTGACCACCTTCCTGGGTATTCTCTTGCTGGTGGGTTTCACAAGTTCTTTTAAAGTAGGTCAGTGAAATGTCCTCTCTGCTGAGGGTTTTGTTTTTTTTCCTTTGGATCACCCTCTCTAGAACAACCTCAAGCTGCATTGTGAAATCCATCCAGGACATAATGTATAGCAGTATATGGGATACAAGATTCATTGACTTAGCTGGGTTTAAAAAACTAATCCTTGTTCCCTAAATCTTTGATGAAACATAATTTTAGCTTGAAATGTTGTGTTGTGTGGCATGTAGTAATTCTTCCTGTGGTATAAAATTTTATTTCTGCTTCAAGCCTGTTTTGGAAACCTTGGCACTTTCAGCTTACTGCAGTCAATTGCCACAGTATGAAAAGTCCTTTGTGATATTGAAAAAGCAAGGTGCCCCAGTGCTGTGTGATGTGAAAACTCAATTAATTACAGGAAGGAACAATACATGATAATTTCAGAATTAAAACATTATCAGTGCTGGAAGCACAGAGGTAAATCCTCCGCTGAATCCAATATTCAGAGCAGAGAAGTGAGTGACAGATAGAGAGGATTGCTCTAATCCCAGGTTGCTGGGAAATCAGGCCACTGCATAGGTTAGAGGAGCCACTGAGAACTGGTGTGACCTCCAGGAGATGGATGCATCAAGCTGCAGGGACACAGTGTGCTCTGGAAGCACTGTCAGACACTGTCCCACCCAGTGGAGACCCTCCCACCCAGCAATGTGGGCTGTTCATCAGCAGGAGAGAGTCTGGATATTGTCAAGAACTCATCCTTATTTTATCTGAGCTGGCTCCTAACAGTTGGATCCCCTAATCTGCTTACAGCAGATCATATTTCCCTTACTTTGAAAGCTGAGTTTAAAAAATTGACAGAAGTCTACAAGCTGAATATTTTGGGAACCTTTTAAAGCTAATGCTGTTCTAAATGCAAGATTGGAGATTTGGAGACTTCTTTCTCGTTTTTGTTTCCCACTTAATTGTTCAGCATCACCTATTTTTGATTTGCAGGCAGATGTCCTAAGCTCCAGTATCCATATTATCCTTATTACCTTTGCACATTCTTGTGTAATTATTTTTAAACATCCTGACCCATTATAGATTAAAAGTCATGAATGAGGTTAATGTATAATTAATGAGAAAGGATGTTCATGGTGACAGCTCAGAATAATGATGAATGAGCTGAACAAGAGATCTGATGAGCTGTCCAAGGTCAAATTGCACATGGGAGTGTTAATGTTGCCTGACACAGCTTTATTTCTTTCTGCTTTCCTATTTTAAACAGATTTGTTATTCTTGCAGAGCTGTTAAGCCATTTTAAGGCATGCCAAGGTGTCCTCTGACCTCTGAGTAAGGAGTGGTCCTTGCTGGTAGTCCTTTATACCATCTGCCATGAAGTATGAGATCCAAAATCCACTCTTTTCTCCTGAAGATATCCATTAGATTCAGGGAACAGTTGATCAAGGGGGAGAGGAAGGGAGATGGTAAGAAAAAACACCTGGAAAACTGTTTAATTATTGACTCAAAGGAAAAAAAACCAACTCTTTCCCATTTCCATACAGTCAATGCTCCATCTACTGAAATTGTTATTTAGTGACAGACTGCAAACAATATTCCTGACTGATTTTTCTCACAATTTTTTGTCAAAATGGTGGGGTTTCTGATACCATGAGAGTCTTGCTGTTTTCCCCAGAGAAATCATGACCAAAATCTGATGTTGGAATAGTAGCTGACTGATGAGAATGGTATAGAAATTTTATGTTCAAAATTGGAAGTCATGGAGCTGAGGCATCCCATACTCCAAGGTCCTGTCCTGTGACCCAAATCCCAAGGTTACAGAACAAACAAAAAAGGGTTTTACAGCAGCAGCAATTAATTCTGCCCTTTCTCCTTACTTAAAGGTGTGTTTCTTCACCAGTAGCTCTGGCTGGAAAACAAGGAGGATGGATAGATTGTGTGTCAGGATTGCTGGGAAAACCATTTGTGCCTGCTGACTTCAAGGTTTGCTGCTCTGGAGCGTGGACCCAGCCTGGTGAGTGCCTTGGAAATGGGCAATTTGTCTCCTTGCCATGTTTTCCACCCAGTCTTAATTTACAGTTGCCTGGGGGAGGAAGGAAAGGTTTTTCTGTCTCCCCAATCATTTGCTATGTAAGTTGCTGCCACTTAATTTGTTTTCTTTGGTCGCTGCTGTCCAGGTTGGTGCTCCTCTCTCAATCATGCAGAGTTAACTGAGTGCACTCCCCATGTTCCTGCCCTCAGCACCCTGCTCTGTCAAATACACAAATATTGAATATTTTACTTTTTTCCTGGGCAGTAGAGGTTCTGAAAACACTGAGACATTTCAAGCCATTCAGGGACATGAACATGAGCTTCCCTCAGCGTTAAAAATGAAAGCGAAATCGCACAAGCCGGAGCAATGTGATAATGTGATAACTATCCTTATTACTTAAGGAAAATAAATGTATGAATCACACAAATTTAGAAATTGCTTTTATTCTGTCACATTCATAAATTTAGCATTTGCACAGATTAAGATGTTTTTAGCATGTCAGGAAAATTAATCTACTATGTCAGCAGTTTATGTCTAAAAAGACTCCCTTCTAATGTGCACCCACTGTTCTTTTTCTTTGTGTCTCTGTTCTTTTTAAGTCCAGGAATTTAGCATGGCCTCGGGAGAGCAACAGTCTGTGTCAATTTGTGGAATTCCTGTGGTATTTCTGGTTCCTCCCCATTGCTTCTTTCACCTATCAGCATCTGGCTTTATCTACCAGAAGGCTCACAATTTGTATGTGACGAGTCCCCTTTCAAGCAGAATATTTATCTGCTGCTTATTGCCCATAAACAGGATTAAAGCAAGCTAGAAACAAGCAACCCTTTTATTTCCCACTGTGCCACATGCAAAGTGTAGTAAATCACTCTGGACACACTGTACCAGTGTGATTTTTTTTTTTTTCCAGTTAAAAGGTGAAAAAGTATCAAAAACTGGGCAAAAGTTGCAAAGTACAGCACAACTGTGTCATTATGCCTGCCATATAAATGGAGCAACCTGTTCAAGTTGATCAGGGGATGCAGACCTGCCTCAGGCTGGAAACTTTCCAAGGCAGGAGGTCCCAGTGAGGGAAGGCATCACTGGGATCACAGCACACCAGACACCTGCCCTACCCAAGTTCCTTTGTTAAATATGTGTGCCTCCACTTCCATGGACACCACCATCCTGGAAAACACCTGCAGTGTTTCATGCTCACACATCCCAGGACAGATCTGGCTTCAGGTGTTTCTGTTGGTCCCTTTGTTACCTGGCAGGGTAAGGAGGGTCCCTGGGCAGAGGAAAACTTGCTGGAGTCCTGCAGCTTCACTGGCTCCTGGCTCTGCTGGGCACCCAGGGACTTTTCCTGTGCTTTGTGCCTCAGTGGAGAGCAGAACACTGATCCCACCCAGTTCTGCAGTTGTGAGGAGGCAAAGGCTGGAAGGAAATTAGACTACTCTGTTCTCTACAGCACTTTCTGTTACTCTAATAACTTCATGGATACGAAATCTTGCCCGGAATAAAACACAACCATGTCACACATCTGACATCAGGACAAGGTGTCCAAAATATATTTCTTATTTTCTCTTGCTGGATTTTCCCTTCTGCTTCCTGTATTTTCTTTCAGCTGCTTGGTTTGAGGTTGACTCAGTATTCAGGTTAGAAAAACCTCAGATGTTTTTCTTTGAAGGTGTAATGCTTTATTCATGTTTATTGTTCTCTTGCAGTACTGTTTCCACTACCATTTTTTTTCCTCCTTTTTTTGACATGAAGCCTGCTGAAGCAAAATCTTAAGAATGGGGAAGACAAGATAAACAATAGCCTTTCTAAGAAAAAAATATCCATGAATTCTAGCAATATTTGAAATGTGAGTTTAAAGAGCAAACATTCTCCTTATTTCTGAGCAGAAACTTTCTGGCTCACTTGGGACTCGGCACTTCCTCTGACATGATTTATTGTCATTTCTTGATGTCCTTCAGTAATGACTGATCCAACAGCATCCTCCAACAGGCATGAGATTTTACTTTGATTGGGATGAATTCCCACCAAGCACCTTTTTTTGGGAGGAAATAAGAGAGCACCTGTCCTACAGGTACAACCCCACCTGTGGAAGTCATGATTGCAAGAACTGATCTTTGTGAGACACAAGTGTCTGAATGGATGAAAAAAAGTTGAGTTTTGGGTCTGGGTGGGGTTGTTTTCTTCATTTTGTATTTTGAAGAGAGTTGAATAGGGGAAGCTATATTGGAAACCACAGTAAGCAGTGTCCCACTTGGAGAGGGTGGCAGCATTTTGCTGTGGGCTATGTGCTGGGTATTGGTTGCTAACTCATTAATTATAAGCAGAGTTTTAAAAGCTGGTTTGAAGCCTAAATGTCTGACCTGTGCCCATCTTTCCCTTCTGTGCTGCCTCGTGGCAGAAAATGTTGATTTTCACCATTCCTTTTAGCAAGTGAATCTTTACTTTTTGTGTTAGAATTAAAAAAATCCCCACATCACCAGACCCTGGGTTACTCATCAATTAAGCCACGGGGCCACTGCAGGAGATCTTTGCTGAGAGGGGCTCTGTTCATCCCCTCCCATCATTTCCTCTACACTGGCTATCCCACAGCCTCTCCCCCTACACACTGAGTAATTTTTTCCCATCCATCTGGGCAAGTTTGAGGCAGGAAAACACTTGTGTGTCTAATTCAGGGCTGGAAGTTGTCGCTGTCTCTTCCAGCTCAGTACCTGGTGTGTTAATCCAAGAAGTAATTAACAGGATGGAGTGTGATGCTAATGGAATGAGCCCTCTGCCAGGCTTGGAAGCACACAGGAGGGAGGGGAACATGATTCTGGCATGTTTTCCTCCTCAGCATATGTGCCAGATCCCGGGCTCTGCCTTGGCGGTGAAACCCTGGCTTTTAAGTAACACTTTGGGGTATTTTTGTCACTGATGCTGTGAATATTTGCAACAGCCAAAATAATTTGGATAAGCCTGTACTGGCTAGTTACCATGGTCACCTAATATGCAGTGGCTTTGGTCAGGTGTGAGGAAGGTTTTACTGTGCCTTCTGCTGGTAAATACGGATGGAAAACACATTAGGCTGTAGTAGTATTTCAAGTAGTATTTGTAGATTTGCAAATAAAATTCCCTTAATCCAGACCGAATGTTAGGATTTTAAGGAGTTGTAACAAAGATACAGACAAAGCTGGAGCTGCTTGCCAGTGAAATGGCTTCATGTTAGAAAACAAGACTGAATGTCTCAGTTTTGAGATAAACAGCTTAATGCCCAAATTAGACAAGTCAAGTACTCTGTTTATGTTTGTTATCCTCAGCACTGAGTCACAGAAGCTGTGCATGTAGAACAGGTCCACACATATTTTTGCATTACAATTTATTAAAAATGTGATTTTTTTTTTCTTCTTGCAAGAGAAAAACTAGAACCCACTTGTCAGCAACAGAATCAGCCAACCTTAAGGAGTGAAGGGCAGCTGGAAATGACATTGAAATATCCTGTAGGATGCTGGGAAAGGTAGAAAAAGGGTTTTAAAAAAATATCAATCCATATATCTTGCTGGGGTGTTGGGAATGTTCTCATTGTCATGTCCCACTGGAAAGGTAGAAAAAGGGAAATAAATATAAATTCCTGGTTGTAGCAGGGAACTTTCTCAGTGTCTTGTCCTGCCATGAACAATGTTTGGTGCTTTTAGAGGAGGGATAGATCTTGCTGCTTCCCAGTCAGCTTTGGCCAGTTGTTCCCTCTATCCCTCAGCCTTCTCTGGCTCTGAGCACCAGCACTGGGCTCACAGCTGGTGACACCAGTGCCACAGGGACACCAGTGCTTTGGTGGCAGGACATCAGCACCCAGTTGTGTCCCTGTGTGCCCCTGTGCCACACGTGGTCCCTACATAACCCAAGGGTGATCATCCTTTAATCTCCAGCTCCCAATTTAGTGATGACCTTTTGAGGTTCATCCTGGATCTTTGACTGCTAAAAGAAACATTTCCTAAATCATCCCCCTCACAGTTGTTTCTTTTTCCATATTTAGTGAATATTCTGGTGAAGTTTGTTTCACAAAAAAACAAAATTATATTCGAAAGGCTCCACTATTCAGTAGGGAAGAAAAACAAATTTTAGCTTGTAAAACAGAAAAGCTTGAAAAACTCATTTTTGGGCCAGCTGTACTTGGCAGTTTCTGTTCAAGTTAGGGGATGCTGAGCTGGTGGGTAAAGCTTGGCAGAATGAGGCAGCAAAGCTCATCTGTAACACCATCATTATTGTCCCTGTTCTGTTCTCTCACTAATTTCATCTATTAAACAAATAAATGAGTGATTATGCCAGATGAGGTTTTTTTGTGTGAGAGTATCTTCTCCTAGCATTGCCATCTTTCAGTGGTAATTATGCAGTCATACAGCTGTTGCTTGCAGGCAGGTTTGGAATAATATTTTTATAACCTGTATAAATCGCACCGTAAAAATAAATCGAGTCAAGAGTTTGGTTTGAAGACAGCAAAGAAAAGAAGTTGGGGATCTGGATGATTGAATACCTGGAGAAATACAGTCAGTGCTGACTGTAATTGGGCTATGTAGTCACATGATTACAAAATAGAATCATAGAACAGTTTGGGTTGGAAGGGACCTTAAAGATCATCCTGTGCCATGGCAGGGACACCTTCCACTATCCCAGATTGCTCCAAGCCCTGTCCAGCCTGGCCTTGGACACTGCCAGGCATGGGGCAGCCACAGCTCCTCTGGGTACCCTGTGTCAGGGTCTCACCACCCTCACAATGAAGATTTTCTTTGGTAAATCTTACCTGAATTTCCCCTCTTTCAATCTGAAGCCGTTCCCTCTTTTTCTGTCACTACAGCTCCTGGTGAAGAGTCCTTCTCCAGTTCCCTGCAGCCCATTCAGATCCTGGAAGGTGCTCTGAGGTCTCCACACAACCTCCTCTTTTCCAGGCTGAACAGCCCCAACTTTCTCAACTTGTCAAGCCTAAATCAATCAATTTAAGGCTCTGG